CATCAGGTTGGGGTGTCCGCCGCGGGGTGGTGGGCTCGGGGATCCCGAGCGGAGCTGGTTGCGCGCTCACAGTCCCTGGCCGCGCTGGCGTTGGGGGGGTCCGCCTGGGTGTCACTGCACGCGACGAGCCGGGCCAGCCACGGACATGGACATGAAGAAAAGGATCCACTTAGAGCTGCGGAACAGGACGCCCTCGGATGTAAGCCATGCATGCATGCAAAAAAAAAAAAAAATGGAAACCCCCCCCTCTCTCCCCTTTTTTTGTGGGAGGGGGGGCGCATTGCAAAGCGAGGGGTGCCCCATGCCCTGCCAGCACCCCCCGGCGTGCACCCCTGCATGCACGCCTGGGGAGGGGAGGGGGGGGCAGCCCGATGCTGCATTTGGAGGGGCTGCAAGAAAAGAAAAGTTGCTGCCCCCCTCCGGCTGGGCTTAATTTTTGTGTTGTGGTGTGGTGGTGTTTTGTTTTGTTTTGTTGTGTGTGTGTGTGTGTGTGTGTGTGTGTGTGTGTGTTGGTTGTTTTTTTTTTTTTTTTTGCTTTGCAAAAGGTTTGCAGCGGGTGCTGGCCCGGGGAGGGACTTGGGAAGGGCCGGGAGTTTAAAGTGCGCCTTCATTTCTTTGCAGTGATCAGGCAGGAGAGACTGGGGAGCCATATTTGTAACTTTGTAGTCCTCATGAACGCGCCCTTTCTCTCTCCCTGCCTCTCTCCAGATGCTTGCCAGACCCCAAACGCCCCGGGTTTTTAAAGACAAAAGCAGCCGGGTTGAGCTGCCCGCCCAGCAGACACGCTCCTGGGGGGCGAGAGGGCAGAGAAAAGCGGCGCAATCCCCCTCGGCCGGCCGGGCGGGCGGGCGGGCGCTCTCCGTGCACACACACACACGCACACACATGCACAAAAAGGCGGTGTGGGTTTTTTTGCAGCTCGGGGTTGGACTTTGCTGGGTGGTTCAGCTGAATAAACGGGGACAAGAAACTTTGTCAGGACGAAAATAGTCCCCGAGTGGCTGCGTACCAATGATGCAGAGGGGGGGGAACCCCCCCCCCCATCACCTCTTTGCTTTTTTTGTTGTTGTTGCTTTTTGCGTTGTAAGAGAGAGGCACAGCAAAGTTGGGAGGACCCCCCTCCTCTTCCTCGCCTCTTGCCCGATGCACCCCAGGACCAAGGAGGGGTGCACCCCTTCCTGGGGGGGGACGGACTGGAGTGCAACCCCCCCAGCAATTGGGGGCCCGCCTCCAGGGTCCCAAATGGGGCTGATTTGGGGAGGAGAGGTCATTACATAATGGCTTAAATAACAGCGCGGTGGGTCGGGGAGGATTCAGGTCGTGTCCGTCCCCCCCCCAACCACCCTCCTTGTGCCACAAGGGCAGGGGGGAGCTGGGCAGCAGGATGCTCGGTGCAACCTGCGCTTTAAAGTTGCAAAAAGTCCAGGGCGGGGGGGAGCCGGGCCGAGCCCGGGGCTCGCGGTTGCGGGCGGCCGGGGACAAAGGGGCGAAGCCGGGGAGCTGAAATGAACCCCCCCCCCGCGCTCCCAACTTTGCATCTCCGCCTGGGCAGGCCGCGGTGCAGCCCAAGTAGGACAAGGCGCCATGTTGTTGGGGGTTTTTTTTTGGGGGGGGGGCTTCCCCCTGTCGAGCTCGAAAGGAGAAAGGCGGGTGGGCAGGGGGGGCTGCCTCAGTGCAAACGCGCCCGGGCTGCTCCGGGGGGGGTTATGTGCAAGCGGCGGGGTGGGGGC